CTAGGTACTCGTAAACCGTTAAACTGGCAGACAGTGGTGACTGACTTTGTTGCGGCGCTTCTTCTTAGCACTTGCCAAATGTTTGTGTCAAAGCGCTGGTAGGGCAAAAAAAGAATGAGACATGTATAGGCTTCTTAAGAGCATTATTTTGACGATTTGCAAGTACTAATTTAATTAGTCTAAACAAATAAAGATGATTTTCATTTTGATTTCGCATGTCTAGAATACACCGAAAGTTTCGCTGTCACAGTCGTAACAATAGTTGAACCGTCCCAGCTATGACATTGACAGGTAGGCGACTTCCTTAGTTCCGATTTTTGCCACGTTGGTCATTTTGGTCAACCATGTCATTATGACATTTACAGGAGAGCGCTACCATCAATACTCAGTTGTTGTTGTTGTCGGCCGTTTGGTGTTGCGTTTCATCCAAATGACGTCCACTGCTGGACAAAGGCCTCCTCCAAGGTTTTCCACAATGCACGGTCCTGCGCTGCCCGCATCCAGGTTCTTCCCACAAACTTTACCAGATCGTCGGTCCACCTAGTGGGAGGCCTGCCCACGCTACGTCTTACAGCCCGTGGTCGCCACTCGAGAACTTTTCTGCCCCAACGGCGTTTACGCCCGTATTCACGAAGCAGCAAATCGAACGCACAGCGTTGAATAGTGCTCTGTGCTTGGTTCATGTGTCACCCTGTGCGTCTACGCGCACTGTAAGACCTCATAGTAATGTTTGTGAATACGGAGTCAGTATCGTTACACATTTATCAACCCGGAAAGGGATCGTAACCGTATCAGCTCGATGCGGTCAGTATTCTTTGTATGAAACTCCATACTGCAACGCACACTTGTCTTATCCGCAACGTAAACTCCTCGTCTCGCGTTTGACAGCGCGCGAAAGGCGATAACAGCTCGCAAAAGGCGATACGGTGTTGATCCCTTTCCGAGTTGATAACGCACATACACAAACATTACTATGAGGTCACAGTGCGCGTGGACGTACAGGGTGACACATGAACCAATCACAGAGTTCTACTCAATGCTGTGCGTTCGATTTGCTGCTTCACTAACTTAATAGCGATATGCCCGTAGCTTCCGACTGTGATCGGCTGGAAGCCTCTAACATGCAAACGGGGCCGCGGGGGTCACACACAACACTATCCAGTGTCCACCCTATAATTTTATCGATTTGACATTAATAATTTTGCTCGGCTATCGAAGAAGTTTAGAAGTAAACACTGCTTTATACAGTAACTTCCCTTTGCAAGTTTTAACTTTATAATTGTTACATATTTTATACATTATACTGCTTGAATGCTTATTTATAGATGACAAGAAGTCATAAATTGATTTGATTCAAAATCTTTTCGGTCGATTAAGAGAATCGGGTTTAACTATCTTTGAATTCAAATCATCCATAATCGATGGGTTTATGCTGTATATTGAACCACAGGTACATTTTAATGTCTAACATACTTAGTAGAAAAAGCTCCAACGCTTTCCAAGTAAACAATTTTGATTATAATATACACATGGGTTTTCTAATAACGGAAATGTCCATGTATTAACGTGGAAACACGCACAGCCAAAGCAAACTAAACGCTATACAATGAGTACACTCATACATACATCATCAATCACAAACGTTTCAAATGTTCAAAGTAATAATTTGGAAAACATAGAGTCGAAATTCGCACCAATACACTATTCAAGGGTATGATTAAAATGTATTGAAAGGGATTGTTAATATACCTGTTGATTTCATTATGGGTCATACTCGTGTTTACCGATTCTAAGCCCATAAATAAATACGTTCAACTTATATTGTGAAAACAATGGAGTTATAATTTTATCGTGTTTCCACACCAATCGCCTCCGCGAGACAATTGAAATGATAGTCTCGCGCCAGTCCTTACTGGAGAGCGATCATGACGCTTTTCACGATTCCGATATTTATTTGACGTGCAGTTCCATCGAATAACTTTTAGGCTGGGTTGCACCATCTTACTTTGACTTTGACAAACGTCAAAAATCTGTCAAATTCCATACAAAATGCACCGGTTACCGTTAAAATTAGGTGGTGCAACTCAGCCTTAGAGTCTGGAAAATTCCACTGTGAAGTTGTATAAGCACTTTAGTGTAAGCACCCAACATAAATATTCATACAAATAAACTAAACAAACGTTATTTGAAAGGTTGGAACCCGTTTATGTTACATTGTTTATAATAAACATTGTTGAGACAATACTTACTTAATATATTGGTTATTTCCTATTTGTGTGCAATTTTGTATGTAGAGTGTGTCTCAGAAGTAAACATCTTGACAATTTTTTAAAAATATAATAACTTATTACGGGTTAGGTATGATTGTTTAAACTACGGCTATATTGTAGCTATACTACGATGCTACGACGCTACGACGCTACGAAAGTGACTGTCCGATGGGATTTGAGGCAGCAAATCTTAGATTTCAAACGATTCGAAGTCAAAATCTAGTGTTTAATTTACAGACCGCTTGCTCTCACAGGTAGCAGAGTGCGCTACGGTCAGGATTGGTATTTGCTTAATTGACCAGACAATTTTAGCCCGTAAACAGTACACATTAGAAACCAACATTCTGTGTCAGGTCCACAAAGGACCGCTTTGACATTCCACATTAAACAGGGCAAACGTAAACACGAGGCTTTGAACTGCCGCCACTAAATATATTGATAGTGGTTCAAAAGCATTGCTGCACGGATGACAACGTTGCTCAAACCACGGTAATACTATCTATACAGTATTCCAACTCGGACATATTTTTTAAATAAATGTCAACAGTCGCGCGGTATGTCACAGTATGACAACATGCGATAGGGCTGCCCACCTACAGTACCCAGTTTGATTACATCTGCCTACTTAAAATTTCTATCTAGTTTTGTAATTGTATTTTTATTTAGTTAGACAAACAAAATACTTTGTGAATGGAATAGGTTAAAAATGTGTGTTGTTTTGTGATTACTTAGGCCCGGTTTTCTGATTCGTAGTTAAAATAACCAATGGTCAAATTTGACAGATGTCAAATGACAAGTGGTTAAATATCAGAAGAAAATGTTTTTTGAACAATGGTTAGTTGGACTTTTAGTACATTTTTAAACTATTTGTTTACATTTTGTTAATATTTAACCATTAGTAGCAAAATTTGACCATTGGTTATTTTAACTACGAATCAAAAAACCGGGCCTTAGTAGATTTAATTTAGTAAAAACTACTTGAATCATTTTGNCTCAAACTGGGAGTTAGAATGTCAAAGTGTCCGTGTGACACATCTTCTACACTACAGAGGAGAGATTTGTCTGTTTATTTGTATTGAATAGGCTTCGAAACTACTGGACCGGTTTGAAAAATTCTTTCATCATTAAAATTCTATATTTTGAAGATAGGTTATAGAATATGGATTTAAAAAAGATTTTCTGTGACAAACAAAAATAAACGCGGGCGAAGCTGCGGGCAAAAGCTAAGTAAGGGATATAATTCATTGCATAGTTAGTGTTAATCCTTGAAACCAAATGGAATTACGTTTTTCATTCATAGTAACACATGCTTGCCTTGCGTGTCTACAACGAAACGTTCATACATTTTAAGTGTAATTCTTTGTTTGTGTTCATTTACAATAGTGAAAATGAACCGTACATGAAGCTAAACATTGTGATGTCTAATGTAGTTGTTATAAGAATACTTTGGTTTTATAAATACTTTGATGTGCTGTGACTGTCCATGTAATGTAATGTCCGACTATAATAAAAATATCCCCGAGATTCACAGTAATTATTTATGACCAAACATTAGGCATTGACTTAGTTCAAAAAATAGCTTTTCAAACGTTAACACGTAGCTTTTAACACAAAAAAGTAACATACACTGTAATCTAAGTGAATACCTATTGCAAAGGATTTAGAAATAAAAACAACAAAAAAATGGTGTGAAAGTTCGTAGAGAAAGTTCTCGTCGATCTTCCGGTAAACGGGCACTTATTCGAGCCAATAAGTTTATTTACAAAATCAAGTCTCTCTCGAGTCTGTGTGGTGTCAGTCCCAAGCCAAGGTTCTAATGCAATTCCACTTCCAACTGCCAAGCGAGAAAACCTAACCACTGTAGACGCAAGAACTATAATCCTGTTACGCTTTACAGCTGTGTATTTTAGACCACGTCCAGATAACGTGGTCGTAGAAGCAATTTACAGGCTTTTAATAGTTTCTAGTGCACGTGTCATCCAGTAGTTAGACTCTAATCACTATGCGCCAACTGTTGGAATAGAACGGATCTTTAATAATGAGTTTGAATCCTTGGTGCTTGTGAGCTTTGTATAAATTCGTTGATGTCGCAAAAGGCTACTGAGGGACAATTAAGAGGACATCGGACCTCCCTCCATTTGTCTGTGGTAAATTAGAGAGATCGTCGGTTCACCTAGTGGCAGGCCTGCCTACGCTACGTCTTCCGGCTCGTGGTCGCCACTCAAGAACTTTCCTGCCCCAGCGGCCGTCATATGTGCCCGTATGTGCCCTGCCCGATGCACTGTGGTCGCTGGAGGCGCCTGGATGCGAGCGGTGCAGGACCGGTCTTTGTGGAAATCCTTGGGGGAGGCCTTTGTCCAACAGTGGACGTCTTTCGGCTGAAACGAACGAACGAAATTAGAGAGAGCAGTGGAGAGTAAAGTTACAAATATTCGGTCAGTTGACTTTAAAAAGTAGAACTTTGAGGTGATGCCTAAGGGTATCACCTCATACCTCGTAGGTACCTACCTACTTACAAAACCTATGGAGAAACAGCAACATCGATACCTCATATTATATAAAAATCTCTCATTCTCTCCAATCCGCTGTTCAGCCCTGAACCAATCTAACCGTGGCCTTCTTCCCAGGTGCTAACCAAGGACTCTGTGACGGTGTCTGTGGACGCTGTAGTCTACTACCGCGTCCACAACGCCACCATATCCATCGCCAACGTGGAGAACGCGCACCATTCCACCCGCCTCCTGGCCCAGACCACGCTCCGCAATACCATGGGAACTCGACCCCTGCATGAGATCCTGAGCGAGCGCGAGACCATCTCAGGAAACATGCAGCTCTCCCTGGATGAGGCGACCGAGGCCTGGGGCATCAAGGTGGAGCGCGTTGAGATGTGAGTACCCTGTTCGTTTTTACTAATTTTTAGGTACACTGCGAAGCTGACTACACGCAACAGTAGCAGGCGTGTTGCCGCAACATTACTGGCTGCTTTGAATTTCTATGAAATTATTTTAGAATACGTACTTGTGTCTTTAGGGTTTCAATAGTAGGTGCATTTCATACAGTAAGAATCTCCGATTTCTTCATGGCAGTTCATAGAGGCGAATCAATGAAACTTTAACATTTAAATGGCTTTAAAGAATATCAGAAAGGCTGTAATTGATAGCTTAATTCCAAAAACCACGACACCATTAAGCGAAATATATTTATAGGAATTAATTACGACTGGCGGGATAAAACCTTCGTTGTTATTATTAATAACTAGCTTTCCGCCCGCGGCTTCGCCCGCGTGGAATTTTGTCTGTCACAGAAAAACTTTATCGCGCGCGTCCCTGTTTCAAAAACCGGGATAAAAACTATCCTATGTTCTTTCCCGGGACTCAAACTATCTCTATGCCAAATTTCATCAAAATCGGTTGCGAGGTTTAAGCGGGAAAGCGTAACAGACAGACAGACAGACAGACAGACAGACAGAGTTACTTTCGCATTTATAATATTAGTTGGGATGTTACATTCCGTTATTTCGTAATCCACAATTTTGATTTTTAACTTCGAATATAGTGATGAATTTCATTAAAAAAACATATTAACATGTCATTTGCGTTTTGATATGTTAGTTTGGCAATTAAATTATTTAGGTACCTACTTAGTACCTATTCAAATTCATTATCAATTCACAATGTAACAACAGTCCCAACAAAAAATCAATCGCGAGCAAAAGTGTGAAATCACCCAATTTGTTCCGGGAGATCGTAAGAACTAAATGGCTAATATTAACTTCTATAGAAGATTATATAGAAATGGTGCCATCTTAAATTGATACCATAGATACGAGTACATGCCCGCCCATCCAAATACAACGGGGTGCCGTACTTTTGCAGTTTAAGTGTTCAGTCAGTTGTACGTTAAATAAGATTTAATTAGTAGCTATAAAGTTCTCATTGTAGTTTTTATGTCGAATTTTAGTCGCGATCAAAAGTCTTTTTCGTGACTAAATGGTTTCAGTTGCAGTGATTATTTATATCCTGACATCATCCTGACCCCGTATCTCGAAGTGAGAATTTAACTGAATAAACTATGGCGCCAGCCGGCCCATAAATTATTTAACTTGATTTTTCCGGGCTGTCAGCTCGGAGACATTGATTTGGAATTTACTCCATCCTTCATATCACTCACCAGTCGCTCAACTACTTAGCTAGTCTGATAATTTTATATCACTTCCATAATAGCTTCTAAAAGCAGAACCAGGACTGCGGTGACCTGATGACCCCCATTATGTTCTACGATTTTGCCCTTTGCTTAGTTTATCACTCACTCGTCAGGCATTTTCAAAAAAGATCAATAATGCAACTTGAACTTTGAATACCAGGTGGTTCGATTTGAAATAAACACCTAGAGTATTCAGTGAATGTAGTTACAGAATCACATTTCGAAATCATTTTAGCGCGATGAATATTTGCTTCAATTCCCAGTGGTTTCTATCTGAGACACTACTGAGAAGGTTCCTATTTCGTAGTTTCGAGAACATTACTACGTGTATTCTGGCTGGTGCATATTATTGAGATTTGTGCTCTTCTCAGAACTTGTCAAATGTTGGTTTCGAAGCGCTGTTACGGTAAAAAGATTATGATATAGCTGATAAGGGGAGCAAAACTTATGTTTCTTTTCGAATCTTTTTTTAATATTTAAATACTTGACGATTTATAAGCATTAATAAATACATATTATTTAGTCTATGCAAATAAAGAACTTTTTCTTTGAGACTGCACAAATTCCAAGACATTCTTAACGACTTTAATAAAATAGCGTAAAATGGAAAGAACTCAAATAAGAAGTTGAAATCTAATTTTCATTGTTTATTTACTTAGAAACCTAGTATTTTACTTAAACATTATCTTGCGACGTTCATCTTTAAAGATTCACAAAGAGTTGCACACGCTTTCTTCTTCTAAGTATTCATTTGCACTGCAATGTAATAATAAAGCTTTCCTTGTATTACATTTAAAAGTACCTAAGTAATAAATCAGCACCAAAATATTACATTGTCACAAAACAAGACCATTAGAAAAAAACTTCAACATTCAATTAACAAGACAATTTTAAACCGGTAAACGAACGGCGTTTTTTATCTAGCCTCATTTTCTTGGGAATATAATCGAGAACTTAACAATTTTAGGCCTGGCACACAAAAACAGCCTACTTTTTTTTTTTTTTTTTTTTTATCCACAACGAGGAAGCTCTTGGCCTGTATCTCACCTGATGATGATATCTTAAATGAACATTCCCCCATCCAGCAAGGACGTCCGTCTCCCGGTGCAACTGCAACGCGCCATGGCAGCTGAGGCCGAGGCGGCCCGTGAGGCCCGCGCCAAGGTCATCGCTGCTGAGGGCGAGCAGAAGGCCTCCAGGGCCCTCCGCGAGGCCTCGGAGGTCATTGGCGACAGCCCGGCAGCTTTGCAACTACGATACCTGCAGGTAAGTGTGATTTTTCTAGCGTTGTTCTTCGATGGTGCTGGTGTTACGCCTGTGGATTGTAGGTATACAATTTATGTAACTATGTTACAGTTAGACTCATTTTGGTTTACAAGATACCCGTACCCGTTAGAAAAGAATATTAGCAGATGCTGCTATCTTCAACAATCACCTGCCTAACTCATCACTTCATAGACTTAAGAGAAGTTTTCGACTTTGTAAGAGTTTTCTACTGACAAGTAATACAAAAATATAGAGGGTGCTAGTGGACAACCATCTCAAACTGGCGCAGCGTTTCCTCTTCAGTACAGTACCTCTAGTACGAAAAACTTTCGAGTTCGTTTCGTTTGCGTATTCAAAGTGTCATCGAAAAATTTTGTATGAAAAATTAAACAGCGCCCCCTATATTATAGCCGCCCTAGGGGGCGCTGTTTAATTTTTCATACAAAATTTTTCGATGACACTTTGAATACGCAACGAAACGAACTCGAAAGTTTTTCCTACTAGAGGTACTGATGTAAGACTTTTCCACAGACGCTCAACACCATCTCGGCTGAAAAGAACTCGACCATTGTTTTCCCGCTGCCGATCGACCTCCTGACGTACTTCATGAAGGCCAAGGAAGAGACCATGTAAAGCGACCCCTGACGAAACGCATTAAAACGGACTAAGATAAATATGATCGGATGAACACAACCAAACTACTGGGTGAATATTTGGAAACAGTCAGTGGGAAATGCACACCTCGTCGTTTTTTTTATTATTTTTAGTTAATAGGGGGGATGGGCCTCTTTAGCATTGGTCTGCAACCTGTCTAGGAGAAGGAATACTCCAAAATCAAACCAGGTATGAGGCTCTGGCGCAAGTACGGTCCAACCCGAAAATGCGGCAGACCTAACCATTTTACTCATTATTTTAGTTTATTTTATAATTTGGTCAAGGCTTAATTTAGGTGGTGGTTTATTAAGGTGTGTAGGTTTGGTGCAAATAAGGTCCAACCTGAAAAGCAGCAAGCCTAAAGATGTTTTTAATCTCGTATGCATTTTCGTACTAACTGAACTCCAATACTCACGAGTCTGGTTTATCATTAGCATTAGTTTTAACTTAACATTATTTATAACTGAGATTAATTAGTACCTAAGTTAAGCCCTTTTTCAGTTTCTTTGCCCAATAATTTTCAAATTAAAACTATCATCATTTTTGAATGGAAAGATGTGATGTTAAAACTCGATTGGCTGTGGCGAAGCTTTAGGGAACGATATATATTATTTTTGTGATGGATAATAATATATATGTTAAGGCTAAAGATAGGTGTGAACATAAACTTAAGATTAGCCGGCTAAACTTAAGTTTATCTTCGACGAGGTGTTAATGTTAGTTTCTTCTATCTTTAGCCGGCTAAACTTAAGTGTAACCGCAGGCCCTTGGCTAAAAATGTAGAAGGAAATGGAAAAGGAAACATGTAATAATGTTTACTATTTTGACACGAAAACTTTATTAACACGTTCCGACGCTGTAACTCCAGTCCAATATGACACTAACAATCTTCACATAAATGTTTCATACACCTATACCCGTACTATTGTTCACAATATTTTGCAACAACAAGTCTGCTATCTATGAAACTCTAATGTAAAATCGACGGTTGTTGCCGTAGTGTTTTTTAGATTGATTTTCGTGAAAACGGCGAGACCCGTACTGCCATAATATGAATGAATTCCACCTTTACTGTATGTGCCGTTACCGCGGCGGAACGTGTTAAAAAATAATCACTTTCATTACACATACTTTTATGTACCTATGTAGGTATTCAAAATTACAATTATTACAATAACAAAATATTAATTACTTAAAACAATATCTACCTAATCATTAAAATAAAATAATAAGGAACTATTTGGTCATTACAATTGAATCTTTTGTAGGTATTTAAAATTACAAAATAAAACAGCGCGCGCGTTGTCTCCCCACCACCCTCAAGCCCTCCGCCGGCCTGGCGCGCCCATCGAATACATTTTTAGCCGTTTCGTTTTGGCTAATGTGCACATTAGCCGGCTAAAGATGGAATATCACGACGCAAACTAACATGCTATCGAACTTTAGCTGCTTCTCGAAGATAAACTTAAGTTTAGCCGGCTAAACTTAAGTTTATGTTCACAACTATCTTTAGCCGTAACATATATATGAAATAAATTATTTATTAAAATGGAAATATATTATTCTGGAAGGAACTTAAGCAGTTGGTATTACCACAACACATCGACATAGCCACAGACTGTTTCAATTTTTATAATCAAACCGATAGTGCGTAGAAGAAAAGCCTTTTAGGGTTCCGTAGCCAAATGGCAAAAAACGGAACCCTTATAGATTCGTCATATCTGTCTGTCTGTCTGTCCGTCCGTCTGTCCGTCCGTATGTCACAGCCATTTTTTTAGCATTGGTCTGCAATCCATCTAGAAGAAGAAATACTCCAAAATTAAATCAGGTGTGTAGGTGTGGCGCAAGTAAGGTCTAACTGGAAAACGCGGCATAACTAAGGAGTTTTTTTTAATTCATCGTTTAGGTTACTATTGGTTGCTACTTATTTTTTTTATTCTAAGTTATTTTGATTTAGTAAGGGTGTTTTTAGCATTCTTCTGCAACCGGTCTCGGAGAAGGAATACTCCACAATCAAACCAGGTGTGAGGCTTTGGCGCAAGTACGGTCCAACCTGAAAATGCGGCATGCCTAAGGAATTTTCTTGTTTTTCAATTTGTTGATTAAGTTGTTTTATTGTTTTATTTTTTCTTTTCTTTAAGTCATTTTGGTTTAATTAGGCGATCGTCTTTAGCATTGGTCTGCAATCTGTCTAAAAGACGGAATACTCCGAAATCAAATCAGGTGTAAAATGCGGTACGTCTCAAGTTTTTTTTATCTTACTAGATCAAATCCAACATCTGTATGTTTTGACGTGTTGCTTGGTAATACCATCTATATCAAATATTTACAAATAATAATAATTGTTCCTATAATTGGGACTGTTTATAAAATATAATACATATGTATAAATTATAAGGTAATAATATATTTTTGAATGAATATAAAAGTGGTTGTTAGATTGCAAGGTAAGTGAAACGAGTTTTAACTAGGGCGAGAGGCATGCATTGTCGTTTGTTATCAATAGACGCTTAACACTTTACGAATTAACAAGATGATAATCTTATTTTTAAGTTTTTCTTCTATTTTTTCATCAATATTTTGAATCAATTAGTTTATAAGAGTAAAAAAAATCTTAAAAACAAAAAAAAAGTATAGTAAACATTCGTATTTTATAATAAATATAAGATTTTAAATTATATAATATTTATTCATAGAATTAAGATGTAGAACTTTAGTAATAACTATTAGGTAAAATAAAAAAAATATAAAAATCAACAATATAGAAAAAAAAACAAAAAAAATAAAAAGCAAAAAAAAAGTGTAGTCCTTAGATGATAGATATTATATAAAATATAGATTATATCTTTTTTATTCATCAAATTAAAACAGTTACATTATACTGTTTTAGTTTTAAGAATAAAAGGGGTTAGGGTAATGGGTAGTTTCTATAGACTCTATACGCTCGATTTTTGGCGAAAGTCGAGCGAGTATGTACAGATAAGTAATATATGATTCTGGTGATTTTACATTGTAATTTATGCATAAGGAACCAAAAAAAAATATGAAAGCAAAAAAAATAGTATTGTGACAGTAGAAGTAGATATTAGATTTTAACAATAAGATTAATTCGTAGTAAACAAAAAAAAATAAAAAAATACATAAAAGCCAAAAAAAATAGTAATAGATTGTAGAAGTAGAGATTAGATTTTAAAAATAGGATTTAAATTCTAGCTGGTTTATTTATAAAAACTAAGTCGTTTAGATTTTGTGAATAAAAGGGCTAGTGTTTCTTAATGTGGTAAAGATTGTCTACAAAATCTTTTCCGCTCTGGCTTGGGAATGCTAAGTAAATGGCCGTGTAAGTTGAAATGCATTTCCTTAAAAAGTTCTAGCAGCAATGAAAAGAGTGATTTGTGCGACCTAGTTTCTGATTTTTGTGGACAACCTATACAGATTAAATCTAGAAGTAGAAAAAATATTTAGTATAAGAAGTAGAAGTAGAAAAAATATTTAATAAATATAGAAGTAAGATTTTGAATTCTAGCTCGTTTATTCATATAAAATAAAATAGCTTCCTCAAATACAGCTGTTTTATTTTGTTTGAATAACCGGGTTAGGATTGAGTTGTGGTATAGCTTGTCTACAAAATATTTTCCAAAATTTTATACGACACGAATGACCGAATTAGGAAGAATCTGTCGAGTTCTGTCGTCTGAGTAAGTGTAGACGTGTGTGAAGCCAAAGAGTAATTGAACTGAGAGAAACACATGTGCCAAACTTTTGTGGGCAAACTATACGTAACCAACTATACTTAGTCGCACTATGAATATTTTTAAACTTAATTTATCATATTTTAAACTTTTTGATCTATTTATAAGTAGAAATAATATCGGTAATGTACTTCCACTGAGCCTTAACCCATTTAGACAGATAATTATTATTGTAAATAAAAATGATTTTTCAGCAATAACTTACAAAAGGAGGCATAAAAATCATGAAAAAAATATTTAAAAAAAATCCCACTTGTTAAAACGTATTTTTAATATTTTTATGTAAAATATTCACTTTAAGCTTACTGTTACAATCATTTTTACAAAATAACAACAGTTTGGTACTTTAAAATATTTTCAATAATATACCGTACCGCATAGGGTACGGTAGGTCTAAATGGGTTAATGGGGTGCATTAGCTCATAATTATTATTATAGTTTCTAAATATTATGTACAGTAGAAATTTAGAATTTATTGTTATAAGATTTTAAATCATAACATTAATATTATATTCCCAATTTTGATCGCTTGTAGGTGTTAAAATAGGTGCATTGCTTGTAGGGAGTTCAATAGTGCATTACAAATAAGATATTTAAATCTAAAGCTTGTAGGGAGTTCAATAGTGCATTATGAATAAGATATTTAAATCTAAAGCTTGTAGGGAGTTCAATAGTGCATTATGAATAAGATATTTAAATCTAAAGCTTGTAGGGAGTTCAATAGTGCATTATGAATAAGATATTTAGGTAAATCTAAAGCTTGTAGGGAGTTCAATAGTGCATTATGAATAAGATATTTAAATCTAAAGCTTGTAGGGAGTTCAATAGTGCATTACGAATAAGGTATTTAAACCTAAAATAAGTTTTTTTTTCAGTTGTTCGATTAATTAGGTTTTTTTCCCACTTTTTATATTATTTGCTTTGGATTATGTTACAATTAGCCGTTATAATATTTTTTTGTTTTTGTTTGGTTGGTTGGAAACAATCATTTTGGAGTATGTATTTATTCTTCGGAGAATACTTTAAAATCAACCCAGGTGTGTAGGTATGGCGCAAGTATGGTCCAACCGGAAAATGCGGCATGCCCAAAGAGTTTTCATTTTTTTGTAATTTTATGATTATGTTACGATTTAGCCGTTATAATTGTTTCTCTTTATGTTGTTTTGGTTTAGTTAGGCGAGACGGGCGTCTTTAGCATTGGTCTGCAACCTGTCTAAGAGAAGGAATACTCCGAAATCAAACCAGGTGTGTAGGTGTGGCGTAAGTAGGGTCTGAGGCCTGGTTTTCATCAAGGCGAAGCGGAGCAAAGGAGGCGAGAAATGTTTTGAATGACCACTCAGATTTCACTCAATCGGAGAATGAAATCCGATTGATTATTCAAAATTTAACATTTCTCTGCGCCGCTCCGCCT